GGACGACTTAATTAGGGTTTCGGGAAAGTGTTTGGGAACCGTTTTATGGGAAGATTATAATTTTGATAGGCAGACTACAACGACCCATTCACGTACGGATATAAAGATAATTAATAGAGAAATAGAAAATAATGTTCAAAATGTTTCAATGTTTTTGAATTTCTACTCTTAGAATTTTCCTCTTCATGTCCAACTGATAGCACAACATTTTCGATTTAATCTCCAAATAAGTAGGTATAAATGAATATTGAAACTATAACACCGAATTAAAGTGTAGAAAAAGCGATTGGTGTTATTCAAGTCATGGTGTAGCTAACAGTAAAACTACTAACGATAAGAAAAGGTTACCGTTTCGACACGGACCTGTCAAGCCATTGCTCCTATTTCCCTAAGGGACTAACGGAGGTGAATGGCATACCCCGATTTCACAGTCCACCGGTTATTATGCATCAACGAATCCCAAAAGTTTCTTAACTCAAGACAACAATGAAATCTCCCAAGAATGCCTCGGGTTGCCTACGTGATGGGAAAACTAAGAAAGACATTACCTACTGTTGCCCTATTTTCTTCGTATCTAGGTGATCACACTGGCGTACAATGGTTTCTTTGGAAACATTACACGAACTCTATTGGCATACATTTATTATTTATTTGTAAATACAAAAAATAAGAAGATACGAATACGACGTAAAGGAACAACCACTAATAAAATTTAAAAAGCATGTTACAGAATTATTTTTGCGCAAGTGTAATTCAGTACAAGAATTTTTGGAAGGTAAGTTTTAATTTTTTTATGTAAAACATGCCCATTGTCGACTGTGGTAGAATGTACAAGGAACCTTAAAACTGTGTAACACCAAATAATTTGTACCTACATTCATTGCAAATAAAGACATCTATTCTATATTATTCCATTTGTTCAGAGAAAGCAGGATTGGTCAATCATTTTTGATCTAATTTTTTTAACAAAAACCTTGCCCCACACTAGTATTTTCTCCTGTGTTTTGGGTGCGTTTACAAACATACAATTTTTCATATACTGCATGTGATGTGAACGTGTGCTAGTGTTGAACATGAGCATGGGCATACCTTTTGTAAAGCAACTATGATGGCAAAAGTTACTGAGAAACAAAATAAATATTATAGAAAATGAAGTAGTCATCAAATGAATGGATAAAATAGTTGCAAAGCTGACCATCCGACATTTAATCTTCTTACGTACATCTCGTCGGGCGGGGCTATAGCAAAATGTTCTACCTTTTTATTTATGTCTGACTCTCAAAAGACATCTGTCTAAGTTTCTTGAGAACTTACTTTACTATAAATACATAAATATAAAACATCATTTCGATAATTTAAAGAATTTCTGAATGTCGTAATACCTATTTCAAAGATTTTTTTAGGAAAAAATACAAGTATACCTATACCGTATTTATGAGCTTATACAGAAATTTCTGCAGGTAACTGTTAAAAACGTAATAAACTAGATATTTCTTATCGCCACCTAAAAAAAACACAACGGATATGTAACCGAAAATAGGTATATACTTACTACGGAGAGCTTTATACAAACAGTTAAAGCCATCACACATGATACTTGACAGTCTCAATCATAAAGCCCACATCGATTTTATCTCAAAATCTCTTACGACCCCACACGATTCAGAAATCATCTAAATCTCCAGAAACCTCTGAACTGACATACAAACCACAGACCTCAACAGACTTGGTTCGTTAAACCCCGCGACAGATGACGGAGACGGCTTTTAGCGTGATTGGCTGGTCGCATTGTTTATATCAATGGCGGACAGACATGAAAACTAAAGCTCCTGTGGCACGATGAGGGATTGAAAAGGACTGCTGCTTTTGAACGGATCCTGTGAGGCTTTCAAAAGAAAAATTTTGTTAGTAAAAGGGATAATATCACAATACGTGTGTTACGGAAGGTACCTTCTGGTTTCATCCATCGAGTGCTCACTTTTCCAGCTTCCTAATGGATTACAAATATAATTCTGTGCCAAAAATATTCTACATTGTAGCATATACTTACAATAAATACTGTTTTCCAATATTGAGTTATCTAAACTACCATAATATGTTTTGCCACATAAAATATTCGTCTAGAAAACTTGGCAGACATTTTTACGCATAAAAATTCGAGATAACGACGCGTGCGGAACGTCTCCCGAAGGATATGACTGCAGACTACAACAAAATTCTGTTTTTACTATAATCCACACAAGGCAGAATACGTATATTTCCGCGCCAACGAATTTGTAAGCAACAGAGCGTGCTCTATGAACTGTCAAAATACGCGGGAAAATGTATCCTTGTTTTTTTTAAATAAAACGACGAGATCCCGACTCAGGTCAAATATTATATCAGCGTCTTTTTATGAAAAGCATTTACAAAAAAAATGTTAACTATTATTTTATATCAGCTATGAACGCAAAAATCCAGCTTTTAGAAAATCTGAAAGTTCTTAAATATAATGAGTTTAAAAATGCGATAACTTGTTACAAAAGGTACTTACTTAAGTTTCTAAGATAAGTACGAAAGCTTTATAAGCTGACGCAAGGAATTTCTAGACTCACGATAATCTTCTAGATAGCAATTCTTTTTGTGTTACAACAATAGAATGTTTAAGTCGTTGTTAAGTGCAGACTAGTGTACCTAAAATTCTTAAAGGATAAGTACTTCGGTAAATACATAAACTGTCACTTAAGAACTCGACATGAATATATGCCAAATTCAAATTATATTCGACACTGACTTTATGATCTGAATTCACAGTTGACAAATACGAAGACCGCCGTTATTGGATAGCTCCCCTAAAAAATTGATGACACTTAACTTTAAGGAGCGCCACAATAATTTTGTTCTAAGAAAAAATTGATAAAAATTGGATAAAATTTATCGTTTGAAGATTGCTTACTTTGTACATAGTATATTTTGTTTTTTAAATGTTCACATGTCAGGGTATCTACATTTCAGGCTGATGTATGCCATGTATCAAAATCGGTGCGGTGGCTGGCAAACTGGCTGCCGAGCAAAGTGTCGCGGGTTCGATTCCCGTACGAAACAACTCTTTGTGTGATTCAGAAATTGTTGTTCCGGGTCTGGGTGTCATGTGTATGTGAAATTGTTAGGTAGTCTAGACAGCCAGCCAGCTAGTGAGTCGTGGACAGCCACGACTCAGGAGGAAATCTTAGTGTAAACAACGTTAATCATAAAAAAAAATTAAACCACCCCAAGCATCTACACTACACAGATCTGTGTTAACTTAATCTAAAACTATTAAAATACATATTTTCGAGCATTACCAATATTATTGTTTCACTTCGTTTGAATCCGCCGTTTAAAGTTTAAGCGAAGGAGCACTAAACAAATCATAAAATCACTGAGAAATCTCAACCATAAATTATTCACACCTCTTTCTTCACACATTCAGCCTAAAAAAAGAACTATCAAAACGTCCATTGTTGAGTCAGGTCAGTAACTCAAGGGCCTGGTTACTGTCATTTGCCCACTAGGAATAACGCGCGCTTTCCTGTGCCTGCTACCGGCCTATATTTAGACGACTAATTATTAACAAGGTGCGTTTAGTTTATGGTAAACTGTGGTGAGATGTGTGGCCCTGGGCATTAAGCTGTGTATACAACAGACATTGTTGGAAAGTAAATATTTAGAGATCATTCAGTGATTTTTCTCCTCGGTGTCCGATTTAACAAATAAGTTTTTAACAATTACTTTCCTAGATTGTTACATAAAGAAGCCCTTCACACTTCGCTGTGATATCTCGGATATAGACATTCCTCGTTTTTCCACTGTCTCAGCACCTTGAAGACAACAATATTGCTAACTTTAGCATCTAAAGACGATTTTATATTTAATATTTACTTAAGTCTTGTCCTTTTGAATGCAATATGTAAAATTTATGTAATATGTCGGCAAACGGGCAGACGGATTACCTGATGGTAAGCACTCAGGGCCGCCTATGGACACCCGCAGCGGAGGAGTTACGAGTGCGTTACCGACCTTTTAGGAATTAGGGTTTTGGAGGCTAAGGGATTGGGGAGGGATCGGGGGAGGGGATAGATTGGGCCTCCGGTAACCTCACTCACATGGCGAACACACAACGCTGTGGTTATTTCACGCCGGTTTTCTGTGAGGCCGTGGTATCACTACCGTCGAGCCGATCCATTCGTGCCGAAGCTTAACTCTTCCACGCTTACTTACATTGAACAAAATTAAAAATATCTCACACTATGCAAAAATTGGTAAGACTTTTAAGAATCACTTGTTTCGGTCTTGGTTCGGTTCTCTTTTTGGTTTCAAAATACTTCTTTAACCAATATCAAGAAAAGCTGCAAGAACTTTAACAAATTTAAAATTGGAATCTCCCTCCAAATTGGCAGATTTATCCGCAATATAACTGGATGTTCTAGAATGTACTACATATAAATTATCCGCATATAAGGTATTTAGTATGCAGTTGGCATCCCCCGAGGTTGGTCGCGCGTGATGAGAATGCTCAATTATTATATTAATTTCCTATCGAAGTATTAGATAAGTCAAATGGAATTTATCTGATTTGATTTTTTTGCACCTCTGGCTGGCGCTCAGTAGGAATTCAATTGCGGCCTTAAAATGTTTTTGTTCACCATTATGAATCTTGCTATGATAATTATGATTAGATTGCTTTACTATAATTATATGTAACATCCAAGGGCGTCCACTGTTTTCGAGTGAGGGCGAGCCAAGATTCGGCGCGATGGACCGGCTCAATTGGAGTCTTACCATGGCCTTGCAGAATTTATCGGCGTGAAAGAACGCCTAGGTTGTGAATGACGTTACCGGAGGCCCAATCCTTCGAACGAAAAACTCTGAAAACTCTTAAAACTAATTAATTATCTATCTCGTCCATCATGGACTAAATAAGAGACTCAAGACTTCTATGAAAGTTAAAAGAAGCTCAATAACAATGATTTTGTCCCCAGCGCCGTCTCACCCAGAAGTACAGCATCGCAGTAGGGGTCCCGACGCTGGTGATCAGAGGTCGTCACGTAAGGGATGCTCTCCTGGACGATGCGCTGGGAGAGAAGTTCCCCTGGCCCCCTCCACCTCTAACTGAAGTCTTGAGAGGAGTACAGCTGCAGGGAGATGGGGAGAGCCGACTCTATGAGCAGCTGCCAGCTAATGCTGTCAGGGTGTTCTATTTTGCGGCGCATTGGGTGAGTAGAAGGGAATTTTATAAAAGAAAAACTGGTATTTTACGGGTGGCCGGGTAATTTCAAATGACTGTATTACTAAGTAGGTTAACCTTGACTGACCTTCAGCCAAACACGTCAGTGACATTCCTGTTGTAACATTTTAAGGATATTGATTATTTAATTAAGCAAATAGGTACTTTAATTTTGATGATGGTCATAACTATGCTATGCCGCAAGACGTCTTCTGCTGGACAAAGGCCTCCCTCTTAGTTTTCCACGCCGAACGACGAGACCCCACTCGTATCCATTGGCTCCCCGCGACTCTGAAGGTCTGTCCAAACTACGTCTTCCGGTCCGTAGTCGCCACTCGAGCACTTTTCTGACCCATCGCCCTTCTTTAGTCCGTCAAGCGATGTGGCCTGCCTATTGCAACTTCAGCTTGCAGATTTTTATTTCAAGTGTCTGAACGTCGTGGTGGCCCGGAGGGTAAGGCGCCCGCTTCTCATGCATGAGTTCGAAACCTGGCAAGTACCAATGTGACTTTTTCCGAAAGTACATAATGTACTTTCCACGATTATTTAGACACCACTGACATACGGTGAAGGAAATCATCGTGACGAAACCTGGACATAAAATTTCTAATCTTGGTGATTTATTCTCAAACCTTCTCCGTGTGGGAAGAGGCCTTTGCTCAGCAGTGGGCACTTATAGGCTGATGACGATGATACAACAAAAAATCTGCTTATCACCACATAATACTTACAATTCCATTTCCGCAGTGTCCACCATGCCGGTCGTTCTCCCCGAGCCTGTGCGCGGCGCTGGCGGCGGTGCGCAAGCGTCGCACCAAGTACGCCAACACGCAGCTTATACTCGTCTCCAGTGACAGGTATGATACTTAGCAGATCAAAGTAAAAAGTGAAAACTTTATATTTTATTTTTTTAAGTAACTGTTGAGAGATTTTCTTGAAAACTAGCTTCTCTCGCGCGGTTTCACTGGCTCTTCGGCTCCTACTGATCGTTGCGCGATGTTTATAACCTAAAGACTTCCTCGATCAATGGACTATATAACGAACACAAAAAGAATTGTTTAGTTCGAACCAGAAGTTCCGGAGATCTGCGCGTTCAAACAAATGAACTCTTCAGCTTGATTAGTATATTGAAAAGAATGAATGACTCACGTGAATTAGGTATCTGAGAAAAGTTCTACTAGTTTCAAATCACAACGGGACTCTTATTCATGAGCAGCATTAGCGTCGCGGTGAGGTCACACAGCTGGCTGCTAGTAGAGCTTTTAGAGAAAACTTAATCGCTTTGGCAACAAAAGATATGGTGAAAATGAAATCAAATTCATTTGTAATACTTACATTCTAAGCAAATAAAAATTTCTTATTCTATTCTATTCTTATTCTGTATTTCAGTGTCAAAATAATTAAATCTCTAATGTAGCCAAGTGATTTTTATAGCTGGATATTACGATTACTTATCAGAAAACTTCTAAAAAAAACATATTTTCTGTATTGTCTCCAATCAAGTCCATTCCATTTCACCGAACACCGCATCTACCGTTCGCGCCAAAACACATTTTCACAATTCTTCTTTAACTCGACAATTTGTTCGAAATATTATTTCGTATCATTGAATTTTATTGTTTTACAAAATTTGGGGCAGAGCGTGTTCATTTTGGCTTTATTTATTATTCTCCGTTTCATTCGTGTACAAGTGCGATCACAAAACAAAGATGGCGGTGTGTTCCTTCAATTTAGAGCTCCTAATGAGTCTATTTGAGTTAGTCTTCAATTGTTTGATGCCATTTATATCCCTTTGTTCATCTCTCAGATTAATAGAGATAGTTATGAAGAAGGATCAATAGCGTCAAGTGTGATAGTGGAAAATAGTAATATTTTGAAATAGTATCGAAACTTAACACTTTGGAACGAGCAAATAGTTTCACTACATGTCACGCTTCAGACTGTCACGCATAAAGTTAAACCTTTTGATATATATTTTTTTGACTGACGTCCAAATGTGCCTATTGTGGGCTACATGAAATAAACGATTTTATTTCATTGATTTGATCTGATTTGTAGCAATGGCGTATTTCCAAATGCTTTTTTAAAATTAAATTCTATAAACAATAATAGATCCTCTCTATTGTGTGACTCGTTACTGAAACAGAAAATATGTTCTTTTATTACGCATTTTCATTTTATTTGCAACACACCTTTCAGGTGGTAGGTATATTATGATTTCATTACCATGAAACACGTAACGAAAGCACCTAATGAAAGGTGATGCCAATCAATAAAATTAATTACACTAATACGACCACCCAATAACAGAAGACATAAAAAAAAATGGCGGTTAAGTTTACATTAAAAATATTTTTCATAAATGGAATAGAATATGCCACGTCATTGCCAGCACAAAAAAGTACTTACCTACCTAAGTAAGTAATTCAGTTGGCGCGTTTGATATTTTCCTTACCTTTATCTTTTCTTTTTTTTTCTTTTACTCGCTAAGCGACGACTTCCTTTGATGGCAATTGGAATATTTTAATTAAATTATGGAATCTTTCTCCCATTTGTATCGTTATATCGAGTAAGGAATTAATTTTTATAATAAAAATTTTCTCAGAAATACATTTCTGTTCAGGAAATTAATTTATTAAAATAAATGTAATGAGCGTTGAGGTGGGTAGGTATATCTACATAATTACTTATACATACATAATAAAGTGTTTCTAGAGTAAAATAACACTTCAGTACAAGAAGGAAAATTACAACTCTTTGAGACCAACTGATTTAAAACGATACAAATACTATTCCAAACGTGATATTTGATTCTGAAAAGGGGTCAGAAGCTACATAAAATAACATTAAAACAAATCTGATTAACATTGAATGTAATCCAAACAATAATATTATAAATGAGAAATTAACTCTGTCTGTCCGTCTCTCTTTACTTCACGCCTAAACTACTAAACCTATTTGTGTGAAATTTGGTACAGACTTAGTTTGGAACTCGAGCCACGCAAACAAAGTCGCGGGCAAAGGATATTTCAAAATAATTAAGGGAAAATACAAGCTTAGCTTAGGATTATTGAAAAAAATAAATGATCGGAAAGAGTATAAGTTTCCCGTTATCCTTGCAAGTTTAATCTTTGCATTATGTGCTTAATTCAGTTCTATTTACGTTCCTTCCACCTCCAGAGAGAATATACAAACATGTTGGTGTTATTTACTGAAATAAGACAGTTTGCATGCTGAATAATAAATGCCGTCTCGTCCCGGTTGCTCTCGACTTAAAACCCAGGGTTGCTAGCGTCTACATTCTGCCAGTTTTATCACAAAAGGAAATCCCTCCATTGGTTACCATGCATGATATATTAAGACATTGATGTTTTTAGGGCTAGCAAAATATAATCGCAAAATATGTCTGGATCAATGTTTACAAAGACTAGCCTTTAGTTACCACGTTCATCACTACGTAAGTAGTATTAAACAAAGTCGCTTTCTGTGTTCCTCCATCCATATGTAAGTATGCTTAAATCTTTAAAACTAGATAACAGATTTTGATGCGGTTTTGTCAATCACAAAAATCATCATAAATTTGATAATATGTATCAAATCTAGTAGTATTAGGAGTGTTCATGGGCGGCACCATTTGCTTACCATCAGGTAATCCGTCGTCGGCTCGTTTGAAGACTATTGACAAAAAACATACGTCTTCCTATCCTTGTCTTTTCCAATACGAATACTGTGATTGCCGTATGCCGTTCCACAACAGCCATTTGTATTCCTTCTTTCTTCTTTCTCCCCTTATCACCTGACATCTTTGATTTACTGCCTAATTTCACTTACCATCCAAGCAACCATTATTAAAAAAAAATTCATCATTTTCTTTTTTAGCGGATATTTCTCCATTATTACACCAAAATATGTACGCAAAATGGCCGCGGACGTAGCATCCCTCGTCCGGTGCACCATTCATAGCTAGGGATAGTGTCGTTATATCAAATTGAATCTGTTCACTCGATCGATAGCAACTTTTTTAAACACGAAACTTCTCGATCGCTTTACAAATTGATAACTTATACAATACCTGAGTGAGACTAAATTTTCAGTCAATTTTTGTTGCAAAGAAAAAAGTGGACGGAGAATTTTTTCCAGCTCGTGTTTAAAACTTCTTTTGGGATGGGTATTCTTAAGCAACAGTGGTGGGTTTAATTAATGGACTAATGAATATTTTACTGACTCTGGTCACCGGTCTTTGTATAGCAAGGAAAATGGAAAAGTTTTAAGTGTAGGAGAGCTAGTGCTTCGGCACAAATGGGTCCGCTAAACCATAGTCTCATGTCCTCACACAAAATTGGCATGAAACAACCACAGCGCTATGTTGCACTGAGCGATTGAGGTTACCAGATTCTTATTTTCGCCCCGATCCCTAAATCTCCGACCCCCTATACCCCAAAAGGCTGGCAACGCACTCGTAACTCCTCCGGAGTTGCGTTTAGCCATGGGCGGCATCGATCGCTTACCATCAGGTAATCCGTGATGCTCGTTTGCCGTCTTATCATAATAAAATATGTTTGGCATTGGTTATAGGACAAACTCACCACAACCTCCCGAAACCGCTACAAATCGGGGTACGATGGGGTTGCCATAGCCTTTTGGTTATAAGAGCCATAACAATGAGGTCAATAAGAAGAATTTTTGATTACAAAAATAAAGATTATTAAAGATTGGAAAAGGGATTTGGATGTTTCCAAATCCGTTCTCCAATAAAACCACTCCACATAGGTACAATGAAATAGGTAAAGCTTCAGTTACAAGTAGAAAGTTCGAGAAGTAATTAAAATTCAGGTCGGTTCGGACGACGCGACTGGCAATTCTGAAATTGTTCACAGACCCTTACCTGAGTTTTAAATCACTTGGTTTTATGCCCTTTTAGACCCGTAAGTTGAATTAATTAGAGAGAATATTCATTATTATAAATTGTTTCATTGCTTTTATGTAAATCGGATTTGTTAAATCCAAGTTGTGGGCGAAAGCGCGATTGGCCAAAGATTTTATTTCAGACCAGAGATCCATGCAAAAGTGTTTGTAATTTGTTATTCTTATATGTATTAGGTAGAAAGCATCAGTTATAGGTATTTATCAATTATTGTCAAAGTCAAAATCATTTATTTCAACTAGACCCATACAGGCACTTTGAACGTCAAACAAAAAACAAAATTTAAAAGTCATCTACTCTGGCTTCTGGAAATATACAAACGCAGTACACCATCGAGGCATTCCCAACTGTATCCACGGCACATTATTATCGAACACGCAGAGCGTTAAGCTTAAGATTTGAAAATAAGTATCACATAGATATAGCAAAAATGTTAACTATTTCGCCCCTTATCAAGATTCTGACTCCTGACCCCTCTATTTGAACTAAGGTACTTTCCCCTCAAGGAAATAACAAACAAAGTTTTTGCCTTACAAAAGAAAAGTACGTACTCGAAAATCTGCACTATAGGCACAGTAACCTACATCCCTTGGCAAGCTTCCAAATAGGCGCGAGATCATAAACCAGGGACATCCATAATTAAACACTATATTTTTTTTAACTTACGCCAGAGTAACTACCTGGTTTAAAATAAGAACTTTACCTAATCTACTAAGTCGCATTCCATTTTCCAATTTTAAAAAATGACTTTTAAACTTATTCAAATTATTACAACAAAAAAAAACGCCCAAAAATACAATTTCCCGCCGAAAAAAACTGTACGACCAAATTAAATTCCAGTCTTTATGCACAAGCAGCATTCTGGAGATTTTAATTTTAAACTTCGAATGTGGCGCGTCGTTGGTTGATTACTGACATCGAATATTTTACTTC